ATCATTTCATAAGAACAAAATTAGAGAAAATATATTGATTCAGGAAAACTTGGCTTATTAGGCAAATCGGGCCTTGCATAGTAGGCTGAGAAGTGCGTTCTGGCTACTAGGTACGACATATATATATATGCTAGCAGTACCCGGCCATACGTTGCTGTGGCTCAGCAACGCATGTGCGCTGCTGAGCTACAGCAGCTTTCCTTGTCCCCCAGTCCTCCCCACCATTTTCCCCTTCACCCGTCTCGTCGCCCTCCCAACCATTCCCCGCTCCACCGTCCCCTCGTCCTCCCCACCATTTCCTACTTCAATATCCCCTCTTCATTCCCAGCATGCCTCACCCCCCTGTCCCTTTGTCCTCCCCACTATTCTCTATTTCCCTATCCCCTCGTCCCCACCATCCCAAACTCCCCCATCCCCTCGTCCTTCCCCACCATTACCCCCTCCCTTGTCCCCTCATCTTCAGCATCATCTCTCACTTCTGTCCCCTCGTCATCCCCAACATTCCCCACTCCCTCGTCCAATGCCTTCCCAAATGGTCTGATGTTCACATCAGAAAATTGGGAACATCAAGTGATCTGATGTTCCCATCACTGAAATATAAGAAAAACACTTAAAAAAAGAAATGATAATATGAAAAAATATACAAATAAACTATTCTCACAAAATGAGCGGTCTGGTAAACAACACAGCTCAAATCCAACGCAATTCACACAAAATAATTAAATCAAAATGAAAATAAATTAAAATCTAGGAAAATTCAATTTATCGATGCAATCAGAAACATTGAAATGGAACTGTAACATATCTAGAATATCATGTGTGTTGCTCTTACATGCAACAGATGGCGCTGTTTTTCCAGAAAAGCATAGTTTTATCTGTCACATGTGTGGCATCTATACTTATACTTACGAAATGAACGGTATGGTAAACAACACAGCCTAATTCCAACACAATGTCACACAAAATAATTAACTAAAATATAAAATAAATCGAAATCTATGAAAATAACATTCATCAATGCAATCGGAAACACTGAAATGGAATTCGTGACATATTTAGTATAGCGGGCATGTTGCCATTATGTCCAACAGATGGCGCTGTTTTTCAAAAACGCATGTTGTTACCTGTCACAGGGGTGATATTTATATAGTAGGTATATAAAAAGATGCGCCTATCCGAATGCAACGTTGTGTCAAAATTTCAAAGCAATTGGCGAAGAACTTTCTGAAATTTCAGCGTGTGTTGCCCTTATATCCAACAGATGGCGCTGTTAAAAAAAAAAATCCTGTCACAGGTGAAGCATGTATATAGTACATATATAAAAAGACACGCTTATTCAAATGCAACGTTGTGTCAAAATTTCTAAGCAATTGGTAAAGAGGTTTCGAAGATTTCCCTCACATGAAAAACACAGTTTTCAGAAAAAGCATGTTTTTTTTACCGTCACAGACGTGACATCAATATACTATGTATATAAAAACCTGCTCGGATGCGAATGGAATTTTGTGTGAGAATTTCAAAGCAATCGGTGAAGTACTTTCGGAGATTAGCGATTTTGGACAAACGAACATTTCCATTTTTATTTATATAGATATATATGCAATAAATGTCGATGACTAATTTAAAAATATGAGCAGAGGATGAACATGTAAATAAGTGACGTGGAGGGAGATGTCGATACTTTGCTGACATGATGTGAGGCTCGCGAGGACGTTTCGACCTTACTTGAGCAACTGAAGTCGTGAGAAGGGGTAGTGCTGTGTATGAGCTCTTGACAGAGGAGGAAAACACCTAACTGTGTGCTCCTTCAAGAGGAAGTAACCAAGCAGGCGCTTATGTCTGAAGCCTGTGGACGACTTAAAGTACTCAAGTCAAGAGCAGAAGAGCTGTGAGGCCGTCATAAAGGAACTTTGGGTGAAGGTCTTAGAAGCTGACCTGTGGGAGTACAGCAGCTGAGTGCTCTCTGAGCGCCCTCGAGACACAGATTCTGCGGTAAGCTCATATAACACTTGTTACAGTGGTTAATTGGGCTGGATCGTGTACCCAGCGATCAAGGCAGATGTTTATATATGTAGGATAGATATTTTATTAAGGCAGTAAGTTGAAATAAGGGAGTAAAGATAAGAGGACAGGCTGGAGGGAACGAAGGTACATCTATCCTCGCCGAATGTCAGTGGGTGACTGAGGGAGAGCCCCGGCGATGGCGGCGGCCAGCAGCATGTCTGGACATGTCGAAGATGGACTCACCCAAGATGGGGGAGGACCGTCGCGGCGACGAGTTAGAGTTAAAAAACATGGCGGATGGAGGAGTTTTTTTCTGTGAATACGTTAAGTTATATTTTAGTAGGAAAACATTCTTATTGGCATGGCAATGAAGTTGCAGGTTTGTTTGGGGAGGAGTTGATGGAAGAACTTCGAGGCCAGGGAAGAAGTTAATGGAGGAAACTTCGAGGCTGGAGAAGTTAATGGAGGAAACTTCGAGGCTGGAGAAGTGTATGCTGAATTCTGTGGGAGAGCAGAACTCCATAGTGAGGAGCGGACTTCAAGCAGTGTAAAGAAGCAGTGAAGAGGAGTTTCACGTGTTTCTGTGGAATCAGTAGTGAAGCATCACTGGAGTTTGATGAGGACTTCGTTGAGCATCAGTTTGGGAGAACTGCAGAAGTGTCTTTTTATGAATACTTTGGAGGACCTAGAGATGTACATGGTAGTGAGTCTCTAGGAGCAGAACAGAGGTTTATGGTGGATACACAGGAATGTATAAGGGGAGTGCTTGAATGCTTATTGGCACATAAGACGCAGTGTAAGGTGATAGATTGATTTCTTCTTGTGTTGGGGAAATATTTATGCATTTGTTTCTGGTGTTTCAGCTCCAAGCTGAGTTTTATATAGTTTTAGGGCTAAGTGCTTAAAGAATTAATATTCTTGTGACAAGATTTCAACCCCATTTAGTGAGGGAGTAGTAAGTGGTAAGCCAAGAGTTGAACAGCCACTTGATACGGACGGTTGGTGAAGCCAGGGTATGATATTGGATTGCAACCAGGTTGTAGCAGATTAGAGTGTTGTATGCTAATATTTAATAGTCTTTATATCATGTATTGTATTTTTTTCGTTTATTAACTGTGCCTTGATAGCTGGCTTTTGCTCTTGTCCTAGTGAGGCTTCCCAGAAAGCAGGGGAGAGAGAGGGAGAAAGGATCACGGATGCAGACAGGGTGACTGAAAATACTAATTCACAAAAGGGGATTTAGGAAATCATTCCAAACAAGGAGAGAGGGGGAGTTACGGCAGCTCAAGTAGGGTGTGTACACGTGACAACGAGGCCAGTGTTGGAACAGCACCCCTAAATATGTGATGATGAACCCCTCTCCAAGATTAAGAGGCGTACAGGGTGATCTCTTGAGTAAATTTCATGCACTCGAGTGTCCATTGCTGGTCGACCAACGGTTGTTTGGCTGCGAGAGTGTGGCTGGCGAGGTCGGTTGTCTGTTCCGGCAGAGTGGTTGGGGGACGTTGTCCACCTGTAAGCAAGTAACAGTCTTGTGTAACAACCAGAGCCCTCATTGGAGGTTTAAGTTCCATAAGCCCCAACCCCTTCAGGCCAGAACACCTAGTTGTGCTTGCGGGGATTGAGCTCTGTCTCTTTGTTTCCGCCTCTCAACTGTCAGTCAACTGGTGTAAAGGTTCCTGAGCCTATTTGGCTCTATCATATCTACACTTGAAACTGTGCACGGAGTCTGCCTCCACCACATCACTTCCTAACGCATTCCATTTGTCTTCTACTCTAAGTAGTAGACAAATGACGTGTACTACTCTAAGTAGTAGACACTACTTGCCCTACTAGTAGACACTCACACTACTAGACAAACTAGACACTACTACTCTACCACTGTGTGTATGTATCTGAGTGTCAGTGTGATGATCTAAGGGAATGTAAGGCGTATTACCTACATTCAAGCTCATCGAACGTTCACAGGAGTATAATGTGACTGGAGTAAATTCAACAGAGCGCTTTATACGTTGAGAGCCGTGTAGAGCCTCGCTGGGAGCTTGTATTGCATTACCAATACGCCACCCAGCCATATTTTCACCTCCAGCGGAGCGAACCTCCATTGCGGACTCCCGGCCACAGCCAGGGGGGCACAGGCATGCCCTTCAAACGATTATATAATCGTGAACATTAAAGATATCTTCTTAACTAGAAGCTTTCGAACCTGGGCAACCCAGCTAGCATAATAGTGCAGGTAACATAAATATTACGATGATTTTAGGTAAAAGAAAAACTGAAATCCTTACTCTGTGGACGATAGCGGAACAGTATAGGCGCGTTGAGAGGACTCTCTGGTGCAGGGAAGGACTAACGGAAACAGGGGTCGAGATGAATAGGAACGATGTGCTGTTGTATTTAGCTTCCCTGTTTGAACTGTTTCTCAAGACACGACCGTTTGTCTTGGATGAGAAACACTGAAATACTAAAAAAGTTTATCTACTGAATAGCACATGTGATAATGTTTTAGAGTTTGTAAGCTTTTTCTGACGTTGTAGTCTTTTAAAGACCTTAATCGATTTCAGTAGTTCTGGAAAGTCACGTCGCTAGAAAATGACAAGTTACGACCAGCGAAGTTTGTATACCTTGTGAAGCATACCTCGCTTCTCGGTGTATATACTCTGACAGTTTGCTTCAGTTCTGGAGTATATACTAAAGTATACTTGCTGGTTGGTCCTCAAGCTGTTAGGGTGGCCTTTAGAGGTTGATACACCTTAATAACTAACGGATGGTGATAGGCCTTAATAACGCTCAAGAATTTGATAAGCCTTTAAGCCAAACACCAAACCAAGAAACTATTGTTGATGCTGGCAACACAGCAGCTAGCAAGGCTATTGTTGCCAACACTGTTACTATTGTTGCCAACACTGTTACTATTGTTGCCAACACTGTTACTATTGTTGCCAACACTGTTACTATTGTTGCCAACACTGTTACTATTGTTACCAACACTGTTACTATTGTTGCCAACACTTACTATTGTTACCAACACTGTTACTATTGTTGCCAACACTGTTACTATTGTTGCCAACACTGTTACTATTGTTGCCAACACTGTTACTATTGTTGCCAACACTGTTACTATTGTTGCCAACACTGTTACTATTGTTACCAACACTGTTACTATTGTTGCCAACACTGTTACTATTGTTGCCAACACTGTTACTATTGTTGCCAACACTGTTACTATTGTTGCCAACACTGTTACTATTGTTGCCAACACTGTTACTATTGTTGCCAACACTGTTACTATTGTTGCCAACACTGTTACTATTGTTACCAACACTGTTACTATTGTTGCCAACACTGTTACTATTGTTGCCAACACTGTTACTATTGTTACCAACACTGTTACTATTGTTGCCAACACTGTTACTATTGTTGCCAACACTGTTACTATTGTTGCCAACACTGTTACTATTGTTACCAACACTGTTACTATTGTTGCCAACACTGTTACTATTGTTGCCAACACTGTTACTATTGTTACTATTGTTGCCAACACTGTTACTATTGTTGCCAACACTGTTACTATTGTTGCCAACACTGTTACTATTGTTGCCAACACTGTTACTATTGTTACCAACACTGTTACTATTGTTGCCAACACTGTTACTATTGTTGTCAACACTGTTACTATTGTTGCCAACACTGTTACTATTGTTGCCAACACTGTTACTATTGTTACCAACACTGCAGCTAGCAACACTGTAGCTAGCAAAGCCAACACTGCCCACATGTGTTACCAACACTGTAACTAGCAAAGCCAACACTGCCCACATGTGTTACCAACACTGTAACTAGCAAAGCCAACACTGCCCACATGTGTTACCAACACTGTAGCTAGCAAAGCCAACACTGCCCACATGTGTTACCAACACTGTAACTAGCAAAGCCAACACTGCCCACATGTGTTACCAACACTGTAGCTAGCAAAGCCAACACTGCCCACATGTGTTACCAACACTGTAACTAGCAAAGCCAACACTGCCCACATGTGTTACCAACACAGCTGATACAAGCAACATTGCTGAAAGTACTGCCACCACTCCTGATGCTCTCTTTCTCACAACCAGAAAAGAATATGTTTGGTATTGAATTGCAAGGAATTCTCCCTCGCTGACTTCTGGTTGAGACGAGCACAGGAGCCGTCTATGTTTGTCTTCCATTCTGGTTCTCCCCGCCAATATTGTTCCCAGAACATTTGATATATCTTCATAACAGTATAGTAATAATATTTGTGTTTGTGTCTCGTGTATTTAAATAACATGTTTTGATACGTTTACTCGCTGAAATAATTAAATGTTGAAAGAAAGACTTTGGGAACTCTTGCATTGAGGAAAGGGATGCTGAGGGGAATTTGCGGCAGACTGTAAAGTCAGGAGATGTGATCTGTCCTTAACTGACAAGTTGTCCATCGTTATTGAGGTCACCTTTACTGGTCGTTCCGTGTGTGAACTTTAGTAAAGGCTGCGCAGGGTGAAGCCACGGTGGGAATATATACACATGATGCAGAAAAAACTCTGAAGAACTTGTGGCACATAAAAGTCTCGTCGATATTGCGGGAAAAATATGATCTAAACAAAAGCCTCCTAAATACTGTAATATCTCATCTCACTACATAAACGTATGAATACTGTGGCAGAACAATGGCCAGATTCCGCAGCTGAGCGATGCATCGAACTTCACAGTACACGGGGAACAGGGGAGTGTGTCCCCGTCAGGTTGTCGACCATCTGGTCACCCATGATGTCACCCATAGAACTGGGCAATTGCAATAACGGGTATTGTAAGATGTCTTGTTCCGAACCAATGGGGCATTTATAATACAGCTTGGTCCCATAGCTATTGGGTATTGCAAGATAGCTTGCCCCTATATCACTGGGTGCTGTAAGATAACTTGCTCCCCATATCATTATGTGCTGTAAGATAGCTTGCCCCTATACCATTGGGTGCTGTAAGATAGCTTGCCCCCCCCCCATATCATTGGGTGCTGTAACATAGCTTGCTGCTAAAACATTGGGTACTCTAAGATAGCTTGCGCCCCCCCCCCCCATATCATTGGGTGCTGTAACATAGCTTGCTCCTAAAACATTGGGTACTCTAAGATAGCTTGCCCCCATATCATTGGGTACTGTAAGATAGTTTGCTCCCGAATCAGTGGGTACTGTAAGATAGCGTGCCCCTATTTCATTAAGTACTGTAAGATAGCTTGACCCCATATCACTGGGAACTGTAAGATAGTTTGCCCCCAATATCATTGCGTACTGTAAGATAGCATGTCCCTATATCATTGGGTACTGTAGGGTAGCATGTCACCATATCATTGGGTACTGTAAGATAGCTTGCCCCCATATCACTGGGTACAGTAAGATAACTTGCCCCAATGTCATTCGATACTGTATTATAGATTGCCCCTATACCATTGGGTACTGTAAGATAGCTTCCCCGTATACCTTTCCGGTAACGTAAGATAGCTTTTCCTATTTCATTGGATACTGTAAGATAGCTTGGCCCTATATTTTTGAATACTGTAAGATAGCTTGCCCCCTTAACAATGGATTCTGTATGATAGCCAGCCCCCATATCATTGGGTACTGTAAGGTTGATTGTTCCCACTCTATTGAGTACTGTCAGATAGCTTGCCCCAATACCACTGAATACCTTAAGTAAGATAGCTTGCCTCCATATCATTGGGTACTTTAAGACAGCTTGTCCCCAGATCATTGGATTATGTAGGATATCTTGCCCCCCCCCCCCATACCATTGGTGTATTGTAAGATATCTTGCTGCAATGCCATTGGTGTATTGTAAGATAGCTTGCCCACATACCATTAATGTATTCTAAGATAGCTTGCCCCCCATACCATTGGTGTATTGTAAGGTAGCTTGCCCCCCATACCATTGGTGTATTGTAAGATAGTTTGCCCCCCATTCCATTGGTGTATTGTAAGATAGCTTGCCCCCCATACCATTGGTGTATTGTAAGATAGCTTGCCCCCCTTACCATTGGTGTATTGTAAGATAGCTTGCCCCCCTTACCATTGGTGTATTGTAAGATAGCTTGCCCCCAATACCATTGGTGTATTGTAAGATAGCTTGCCCCAATACCATTGGTGTATTGTAAGATAGCTTGTCCCCATATCATTGATGTATCATTAGATAGCTTGCCCCCCGTGATATATCAAGGAGAAAATTAATTGAACGAATGTGGGGATTCGAACCCTCGACCAGTGCACTCTCAGGCCGCACTCCTGCACTGTGTGGTAGAGAACGCCGCCATTACCTATACCAATGGGCATGGGGGGGTTATATTTTATATGTAAACCTTGGACTTGCTTCATTAGGAACCTCCAGACTCTCTGTGGAGTTCCACATTGTATAACTTATACAATGTAGAACCAAACCACACACTAGAAAGTGAAGGGGCTATGACGTTTATTCTACTATGTTCTACTGTAGAAATATTCTACAGAAAAAAATGTTTCTTTCATAAAATAACTCATTAGGATTGAGATGTTTTTAATTGTTAATTAAAATCAAAATTAAAAATGAATGCAACATGCACTCTATTATTAATTAAAATATAATCTGATTTGCAAAATTGATTTCAATTAGTGACAAACGAATTTAAGAGATGATCAAACACTTCTCTTGTTCAACAGTTTCATAGGCACAACGAGACGAGTGTGAAACTGGAGCCCAGAGTGAGCACACAATGTCACAAGT